TAGGCGCCTCAATTTTTATTCCCTTCGTTTATTGGACCATATCGTGGTGTGGTACCTGTGTGTTAGTCTGTCTTCACTCCCCACTCTGCACGGCCAACACTACTTGGAATGGAAGGAAACAAAAACAAGAAAAAAACACAATAGCCGAGCCCTACACAAAATCCGTCGGTCATTCATTCCTCCTCTGCCGTGTCACCCCTTCAAGCCTGTTGCATGGCCCATGAAGTTGTAACGCACCACTTACAAAGCATATAGTTGTGGAAAGCCGTGGGGCTGGCGTCCACCCGCGTCGGTGTCTGCTCTCCAAGAGCAGCGGCGTTATTTGCCTCCTGCTGTGAGGCAGTGATCGTCGGGGAGACGTTTGCCCAACTGTTTTTCCCTCCAATCGATGATGGGTGCTTGTCGGTATCAGAGGCTGCGAAGAATGACATGGTTTCCTCCGTAACGAGCGGAAGCACCAACTCCATGGTCCTCCCGTCAAGTCGCATGTGCCGCAGTAGGCTCACGCACCACACATCGGCCGCCAGTCGACACTCCCGGTGCATGTTCCAGAACGCCTGCAGCAACTCGCCCATCAACTCCTGGTGCTCCTCGCGGACAGCGTATGCCTCTTCCGCGGACCCTGGAAGTTGAAGGCGGGGGTGCTGTGACGACGGTGCGCCGCCCCCGTGTGAAGTCGAATCCCTGTACGGTTCGGTATCGACGCTTGCTGCGTCAACCGATGCCTCAGTGCCGCACATCTCCAATGTCAAACTCATAGCGCCAAGGAAGAAGGGCGAGATTCGGCGTGGAGCCACGGAATGCCTGTCGTTGCCAACCTTCTTCGCACCTCCTGCATCGTGGTTGGGGCTTCGCGCCCGCTCCTGTGACGATGCTTCACTCATATTTCCACTAGAACTGCTTGCGTGACGGCAGCTTTCACTCCTACTACTTCTGCTGCTTCTGCTTGAGGAAAGAAGTCTTTCTAAATCTGGTTCTTTTCGAGTCGTCATAGTCAATTCAGGTGGCCCTCTACCGCTCAAAGTGGTGCTAAAGGAATCTTTACGATTCTTGAAACTGAAGAAAGAACTTCCCCTACGTAGCATGGCCTCTGCGGCCGCCTGTGAGAGCCTTGCACTCCATTCCTCGGCATACTCGTGGTACTCCAACAGAATATCAAGAAACGCACGCCGACACGGCAACCGCACAGGAGGCCGAACATTCCCTCCGTGCTGCTGCTGCTGCTGCTGTTGTTGTTGTTGTTGAGGCTGCCTCACAGAATAACTCGGACGCGCCAATGAGGCTGAGCCTCCACCGCGATCCTCCATCAGCGCAGTGTGAAACCATTTGTCTTTCAGCAGTTCCTCTACGCTTGGGCGTCGCGCGGGGTCGGCGCAGGCGCATTTTTGCACAAAGGAAGCGAACTTGATAGACCAAGGGCCATGACGCAGCCGCGGCAAGGGGCGATGATGCCGCTTCATCCACCACGGGCTGCCACCGTCGGCCAGCTGTATGGCCAGCATGCCAACCATCCAGATATCATACGGGGGCGCAAGCAGACATCGAGGGCTCCGTGTGTTGTCAGTTTTACGAAACGGGAGTATGGGACTACCGCCCTCTTCCTTGAGGGAGGCGGTGGATGGGTCTTTGCCCTGTGTCCCATACACCCCATCCTCACTACCGCTGTTGCCTTCACTTGTTATGCTCTCAGGTGGTGGTACGTACTCGAGCTCATCGATGGTAAAGGCGTGAAGTGCATCAACCTCCAGTGCGTCATTCGGCGTCGCCACGTCATAAAGGCAGAGTGGGGGCGCAGGTCCTACGCCCGGAGAATGCACACCTGGTGTGGGTGCAGATCGACCAGAGCTCCCTGTGAGTGCGGTGATCAGCGTCTCTTCAACACATGCGTAGTAGCTATCAGAGAGGACAACATTCTTCGACCACTCCAGTGGTCCCGGCTGATCCATAGAGGCTGTGTGACCCCCTCTATCACCACCATTACTGCTTCCAGCACAGTCCAAGTCTTGCTCCAACAAGGGTGATCCTCCAAGAGTTTTCGTGGTCGCAGCTGCAGGGGCGGCGTGTTTGGACGCAAGTGCGGTCATTGCCTCCGTCACGTGGGCAGCGATGAATATGTTTGTCGCCTTGACGCTTCCATGAGCTTTACCCTGACGATGGATTTCTCTGAGGTGCCGAAGTACAGACCATATGATGTTGCGAATGACAGTCTCACGAAGTACATGAGAGGGTTCATGGGTGTGGACCCAGTCGAGAAACACATCTCGTACGTTGCCTTGCCACACAAACGGCAATGAGAGGGCAATAGCAAAAAGCGGCTTTGTTTTTGTGCCATGAAACGACGTCGTGGGTGTGCTACCTAGACCGCCACCACCAGACTCTTTAGAGATGTTAGGGTCTACCAGAGGGTCATCCATGTAGCGGTGCACTGCTCCACCGGAGCCCCACCCTTTTTGTCCCTTTTTCTTCACATCCGAAGTGGCGGCCATCGTTTCGCCAATCTTCACTGGATATTTGGCAGCACGGCAACCGAAGCTGAATCTGAGAGAGTTACCACGGTGTGCAGTGGAATCTCTCTCTGAGAGCATAGAGTCCGAGAAGGACACTAATTGAGACGGCATCTTGTCTTTCCCCTTACGTAAGGGAGTGAAGGTGGCGGTGGTGGTGGTAGCAATGGATTCTGTTGCGGCTGTCGCATCGCCTTGCCCTCCTCGCAGAAGCGGCGATACAGTCGCCGCCAGGCCAGTTGCAGTGCCTGTGTCGTTCAAAGGAAACACAGCAATCCCCGTGATGGGAAGCTCACAGTTTATCGTACCACTGCTCTTGTTGTCAAGGTCACTCTTGTTTTTTTCGCTTCCTTCATTCATCGTGTTATTCATCAAAACAGTATCCAATGGAATCACATCATCCGAGATGTTTACCGTATGATAAGTAAGAGAAGGATTCCCCCCAGTACGCATATCGGATACCAAAGTAGAGTTAATAGACCGCAGCGGACTGGTGATCATAACCGAGTCGTGCTCACCCTTCCCATTGGACCGGCGAGTGCTGGCTTCAGGGCTGATGAGATCCTCTACACTCTTCCGCAGCTGCCCATGTAAAAAGCAACTGGGAGAGCACAGCCAGATGTTTTTGTCCTCTCGAGTTGCCTCACCCGCCCCATCCGTGCTCTCATTCCATAAAGACGGTTGCAATCTCTGTTCAAGTTCCTGCTGAAGTCGTACGAAGAAGGGTGTAGAGAGAAGCGCATCGCCCTTGTCATCTGTCGTGAGCAAAAAGCTTGGATCTTTCCATGTAGTATCAATTGAAAGAAGACCAGACCTCTTGCTGGTGATGCTGTCTGGAGTCGTAGCACCGCTACGCCCCGTCCAGTTGGGACGGGAGGCCGGTAGCAACTGTGTAGCGACGTCCTTCAAACTATTAAGCATCTCTATATCAACTAAAAGCACACGCACGGCACATGTGGTACCATTTCCGCTCATGCTACCGCACACTACACTGCTACCGCGACGCGTGTTGCAAGGTTGTTCACCACCACTGTGAGTGTTCGCCAATAATCCATGGTATTCATCAATGTTTTGTATATTAGGTGATGCGTGTGACATTGTGGGTAGCATCGGTGAAAGCGATGGGTTGTTTATCTGACTGGAGGATCCCACAGACGGTGGGTGGGTACTGCCATGAGGCCGTCTGTCCTCCATGTGGCTGAGGTTCAGCTGCCATGTCCTTCCACGTGCCGTGTCGCATAAGGGGGAAAAGGCACGGTGCCGCCCTGTGTAAGGCTCATCGAAGAGCCGACACTGAAAGCCGCCGCCCGTGTACAACTCCCCTGCAGAGCCGCGGTTCCGCGGCACCTCGCTCAGAGACGACGACAAGTTCACCGGCGATACGGGCGACAACAGCAACGGCGGCTCCCGAGGGTGGCTCCGTCGCTTCGCCTTTCTCGGTGTTTTGCTCGTCCGTGGTTGCTTCCGTGGGCGCGCTAGCGAATTTTTCGCCGATCCCGGCCGAGTCTCCCCCGGCAGCATGTTTCCCCGTTACTAGAAACAAAGACGCGCACACCCACGCCGCAAGCGGCGGAATACTTCCCCAGAATTCGCGGTACTAAGTGCCTTCAAGCCACGTCCGTTTTCTTTTTCCTTTTTTTTTGTTTCTTTGCCCCTTCTCCACCCTTCCTGTGCTCAGACAAGCGATTCCAGGTAAAGATAAAGGGAAGAGACACACAGGAGGGGGGAAACAAAGAGGGGTGGGGGAACTGTGCAAGGGCAGGCATACAAGTACACACGTATGCATCTCTCTCTCTCTCTCTCTCCCTGTGTGTGTGTGTGTGCGGGTTGCGTGTGTGCATCCATGTTTTTGTTCGTGTGTTTGCAGCAATCACTTACTCGTCCACTATTTTTTTTTTTTGGTTTTGTTCGTTGTTTATCTTTCAGACAACTCTCCAAATTTCCTCGATTTTTTTTTTGTTCTTGTACACATAAACCGAGCTGAATATATGACACATATGGGTCAATGATATGCATCCAGCCCACTGCGTGCCCCACAGATACTTTGGGTAGGACTTTAATATAAACAGCAGTGTGTGTATATATAGATATATACAGGCATGCTTCAGATATGTCAGTAGGTAGGTAGGTAGGTAGGTGGGTAGCGACTCACGAGAAGTGGCAAAATAATGATAAAACCAGCATATAGAACAAAGAAGATATATATATATATATATATATAAACACGAAACAACAACCAACAAAAGAAAAAGGAATGCAACGTACAGAAAACGTATGGAGGTGACTGAAGCATATTTCTTTCCAATGCCCACTGCAGCACTTCGAATCAGAACAACTGGTGTGTTCTTTTATACTGTGATTCTGTCTTGTCACCGTTGCAGTCGGCCAACTAATGCTCGGACATAACGGTTTTAAACATGCGTGTGAAAGGATCATCGCCATCGTCGTCGTCCTCCTCCTCTCCCCCCTCCTCCTTCTTCTCTTTTTTTTCTTCGTTTCCCTCATTGCCCAGAGTACTTTGCGCCTCTAAATCAAAGCATCCATTCGCCAGAGTAGAATCTTCTTTTAGACATCTTCGCGTGGCGACAATTCGGGCGAGAAGCGACGAGGCCGTAACCATTGGAGCCTTTGGCGATATCGACGCCTGGGATGAGCGGGCGGATGATGACATGCATCCGAAAACACTGTTTCCGTCCGCCCCCTTGTTTGTTCTTGCTGCTGCTCTTAGTATTGTGGACACCTCTTTTCTATTTTCTTCAACATCTTGTGGTATTCTAGCGGAAGGCCTGGTCCCGCCCACAGAGTGGACTAACAGCTGAGAAATTGCATTGCTGTTGCGGTCATGGTCCTTTGCAACATCATGACTTCTAGGTCCCGGCACTGGTGCACAGCTCTCAGCTGCAACAAGGGAGGAATTATATTCTGGGTGGCCCCCCCGGGTGCTACGGTGCTGCTGCTGAACAGGTGGGCAGTACTGCGGTGTCATGAGAGTTGATCTGTTGGTATCGGATGCCATACTGCCCATCTGTTGCGTCTCCTCCTCTGGGGCTGGAGTAAGGGAGAGTTTCTCCGCAAGTTGCGCGGCATGACGCATCCAGGGATGCACCAGCGCTTCAGCAACACTGCTTCGTACCTCTGGATCCGGCTCCAATAGTGACTGCACAAAAGATATCGCCTTGGAACTGATTTGTGCCCAATGGTGGCTATTGCATTTTGGAGTGCAACGCTTCTGCTGTTGAGCCATAGACGCCCGTGATGTTCCATTGAAGGGAAAACAGCCGCTGAGTAGAACATAAGTGACGATGCCTATGGCGTACGCGTCCAGTTGGCGTGCCATCCGCACAGTGGTGGGTTTGCGTTCCCACCCGTTGTTCACCATCCAGCTCAGCATCTCTGGTGGAAGGTACTTGTCCGTCCCACATGGCGTTAAAAACAACAGCATATCCCCATCATCCGGTTGATCATCACACGACGAGCGAACGCGTGGCTCAGCACCATCTACAGAGACAACTGCTTGAGCGCTGCTTACCGACTGCGATGCGTTAGCAAAAAAAGACCTTTGTCCCATGGGGCGGCGTGGCATGTCGTCCAATGCACGTGAAGAGGCATCCGCCAAGGAGTTGTTTACTGCTACTGTTGTTGTCGATGGCAATGCTGATGGTGATACTGCAGAACTCATTCCACCATCACCTCGCTGAGAATCAAGCTCCATTGCAAACTGGCGAGGAATGCTTGCCAATTCGACTGTAGCATTGGAGGTAGCTGAGGATGGGTCCACTGCATCGTTAAGCGACACCACCTGCAAAATCTCACTGCGGCCGTCCATCCCTCCCCCTATACCGGTGATGGCATCGACATCATCGTTGTCGTCAAAGTTGCGCTCCCTCTCCACGTCATCCATGGAAGACGCAGAGGAGGTTTCTGACGGAGACACGTCCGTGCTTGACGCACAGGAACTGCTTTCGCTATCCACGGATGCGAACATATCAACAGCCGATGGCATCGGGGTAGGCATGCCAACCCGAACGTTGAAGCTGCTGCTGTTGCAAGGTGCAGATCTACTCTGGCTGGGTTCCAGCTGACCTCGGCTGCGGTGCTTATCGCTGCGCCTCGTCGTGCGGCGCGCCAGACCGAAATCAATGAGTGTCACTTTCAGCAGGCGCTCAAAATCGTCAGAGTTCCCACCACCAGGAACAGGACCCCAGCCTGACGGTGAGCGACTTCGCGGCTTGTTCGCATCATCCGCGTTCTCCACATATCCCTCCAGCTCTGTCTCCGTCGCTAAATCATCGTCGCCTGGCACTTTTCCCTCCACCTCTACCACTACATCTGCATCTCCTCCACCCCTTGTCATACTCCGATGCGTCAAGCCATCTGCACTGAGTGCCTGACGAATGCAATCCGGTGATACATCTACGAAAGAAAGGAGCAAATTCTCCAGTTTAATATCGCGGTGAATAAATCCACATGTGTGCTGCAGGTAGTTGACAGTTTTCATCAACTGGTATATCATCAGAGCGGCGCGTACCTCGGAGGGTGGCCCATACAACCGGAGGTAATGATAAGCATCAATAGAACCCTTTCCCATTTTCATCACAATGACAAACTCCTCGGGGGTGCGCAGCGCCTCCACGAACTGGGAGCAACCGCTATGACGCAGAGTTCGGATGATCGATATTTCACGCTCAATCTCGACAAGTTCACGATGCAGGGAATCCTGCTCCTCTACGTGGCCACGGCGAGGTCCTGTTTCCACGGGCCTATCGTGTGGCACGGTACCTGCGTTAACTTCCTGTCGTACACCACCTTTATCCATGTACATATCCTTTCTCTTACTGGCCAACTGTCTGTGAGAGATACATGGGTAGTTCTTTTTCCACCGGCGCCGCGGAATGATCTTGATTGCAACAAAAGCCTTATTTGAGGACCCTCGAAAAAGCGGTATGGCGCGGAAGACACGCGAAAATGCTCCATTTCCGATGAAGTCTGCATCTGGGTGAAAAACATACGAGTCCTGCAGGCAACTAACCTTCCTGCACTGATGGGTGGGTCTCAAGAGAGGCGGCAGCACCCCTACACCCTTGTTGATGTGGCTGTTGTTACTGCTCTCGTGGTTGTTGGGCAAGAGACTCTTCGGCATGCTACGATTACCCACGCCTGTCCTACCCTTGGTGTAACACAAGTCGAGTGTGACGGCTGGAAGGGCCGGAGTCGACGCCGCCCGTCGTCGTGGCTGCTGCTTACTCAACAAGAAGTCACGTTTTACACCGACATCGCGTGGGAGCAGCTGTGCGCTATAGAAATCTCGCTCCGCTGGAGGCAGCCGAACAATAGACACAGCGCCCTCCACCTCACGCAGCGCCATTTGCACCGCGTCGCGGCGCTCCGCGGTCGCCTCTCCCCGCAGAAAGATCAACAGCTGTGGGTGGCGCAGTTCAACAGCGGCGCGAGGGGGCATCAGTAGCCGTTCGCGGCTGCGGCAGGACGAGACGTCGCGCAACGGCGCCGAATGCGCCCGCCGCCTTGTCGCTGATGGCGTTGCAGACGTCGTCGTTGCTGCGACCGCAGCTGATGCGGCTGGCGCTTCTGCGTTTGCTGCCGAAGATGCCGGCGTCCGTGCAGGCGTGGATCCATGCTGCAACGAACACCGTGCGTGTGCTGCGGCCGAAGCGTCACCTTGGTTGCGCCACCACCGCAGACGGTCCACCACGACGGTGTCAACAATCCGCAGCGTCTGCAAAGCGCCAATCATACTGCACAGAGGCGCTCCACCCTCCCCACACCCCCAACTACACAATCTCCCTTTCCCTTTCGGTTTTGTTGTGCTGGCTGGTAACCCCGCTTCTACCGCGGCAGAGCGGCGCGGTACACAGAAAAAGAAGGCCTATCGAGGTTTCCCAGAAATAGTTTTTTTTTTTTTTTGGCAACCAAAGCAAAAAATAAAAAATGCGGGAAGAATAGTCACCGTCCAACAAGGCGTGAAGCCGCACGAACTTCTCTCACACATGTGCATCGTCCGTTTTTTTTTTCTGTTACAAGCAGCACTCTCCTCCTCCACTCTTTCTCACCACTTTGTGCCCCAATTCTCAAGTTCTGTTTTCGTTCATGCTGGTGATATATATATATATATATAT